TTTTATTTTAATAAAAATTTCATAATTAATTTTTAAAGTTATATTTATTTAATGATTAAATGTGTATATAATTTAATATTTATATGTTAAAACCCAACCAAAAATAACGTATACAATATACTGATTAAATATAAAAAATCCAACCAAAATTACTTATACAATATACTGATTAGACGTAAAAAATCCAACCAAAAATAACATATACAATATACTGATTAGACATAAAAAATCCAACCAAAAATAACATATACAATATACTGATTAGATATAAAAAATATATGCAAAATTACATATACAATATACTGATTAAACGTATAAATTCCGTATTTTTCTGCATACAGAAAAAGTTGATTTTCAGTATCTAGTATACAGAAATAATTACGAATGTATTATACTGTTTATCTACGTTTATTATAAGTTTTTTAAACATATTATTTCTGTATCAATTACTGGACAAATCCAATGTTATACAGATCAAATTTTTTTTGTTAATGATCGACATTGTGCATTACTATGATTTTACTATGAATTTTACTGAAAAAATTTGAAAATCATTTACTTAATTAGATATAGTGAAACTAAATAGGTCAAATAAAATAATTTTTTATTCATAAGCATGTATATGATATTTCCTTTTAAGCATATTAATAAAAAAATTTCTTCGTTCGGAAGGATCTTGAAGCTAAAGTTGACAGACCTGATGGACCGTATAATAGTTACACAATTGTAATTTTTTAAGTTAATATTAAATAAAGTCATGAAGTTGGATATAAATACTTTAGAAACGCAACTAATTATTGAAGACTGGTTTAATATTAATGAAGATAATGAAAACGAAACAGTTTTTGAGTCAGAAACTTTTGAATTTAATGAAGCAAATATAAGATACAAATCTGATAGTGATAGTGATTTTAGTGAATTTGAAAGGGAAAATGAAGTGAATAAAAACAATGAAGAAAATGACATTATTATTAATCAAAAAAAGACAAAAAATTTAACTTCGTGTGTATTAATTGAAAAAGTTGAGGGAAAAATTCAAAAGTGCAAAAATACAGAAAGTTTTCGAACATTATGGCAACTTGTTGGAACGTGGCAAATAGATAGTGAAAAAATTTTAGAAGTAGGTGAATCTTTGAAAAAGCTTGGAGTCTGCAGTTATCACTTTAATCATGACTAAAATAAATTACACGATTCAAAAATTAAACGAACTTCATCTACAACAAATATTATTCTTCATAGGCGAAGGTGTCTCTTTTGTGGAAAGCTTTTTTATTTTTTTAGTCAGGGTGGTGGTTGCTCAAAGCATTCTAGAAAATTATTTGGAAAAAATATACAAATTGCATGTAACAGATAATTTACATGTCCTGTATTTGGAGATTGTGATCTAATTTGCGAACCAGCCTTCGAAGATATTAAAAATTTACGTTATATCTGTTCGGAGTATTATGAATTGGAAGGTGGACATTTTCATATAAAACCTGGTAAAGGAAGAACATCGGCAACTTGCTTTCATGATCAAGATGTTAAAAAAAATTTAGAAATAATTGCACATTGGTTACTTTATGTTAAAAATAATAAAGATGAAGAATATTAAAAAAGGATTCTTAAAGCCTTTTTATTTCTTTATTTTCAATTTTTAAATAAAAATTATTCAGAAAAAATAAATACAAATGAAATAAATACAGAAAATCAATCAATTACCACATCTTTTACCTCTTTTAATACACAAAAACTTCCTACTTTTTTTATGATTCGAACATTAACACGTTTGAATCGCATTCCAATTTATCCTGATGAAAAAGAATTTGAAGAAAAAGATTTTGAGAAGTTTGGAGAAATAGCTGGCAATAAATTATGGCAATCATACGAACATTTAAAAGCTAATCAAAGTTATCTTTGATCACCAACTAGTATCACTGAATATATTGAAGCGTTTCCTAAATTTTTAAAAGTATTTTTTGAAAAAATGTTTTTACAATTAGAGTCAAAAAAAATAAATCAATCTAATCGAAAAAAAATGTTACAAAACAAACCTTTAAGACAATCTGATTCTCAAAAAATGAATAAACCCATTTCCTTTTTACTTTCAATATTAGTAGGATTCGCTTTTCCTTATTTTAATCTTTGGCTTCCTACTATATTAGCATCCCTGTATAGAAGGCCAAAATTAATTACTTCGCTCCATTCATTATTAACAAAATGTTCAATAATCAGACATACAAATCGTCATGAGAGGCGGTTGGAAAAGGCAAGAATGCAAAATATTGATCCTACAAAACGATTAATAAAAAAAAACAATGTATTTAACTTGGCTGTTATCGATAATATAGACTTTAAAGAGATTAGTTTTGGTTTTGGTAATATTTATGATGTAACGCATGGAAGTTCACATACAACTCTAAGAATAGTGTTCCAATTAATGTTACCCATACCTATAAATGAAATATCCGAACAAATTAGAGAATTAAATGCTGATACTTTTCTTTTTGGAATGATACTAGAAATGCGTGTGATGCAAAATAAGATAGATGATATTTTTAAGAAATTACTAGAATTTCAAATAGATGAGATTGGAAATATAAGTTATAATAAAAATTTAGATGTTGAGACAATTGAAAAGGAAATTATTAAACAATGTGATTTTGGTTGTTTAATTTCACACCCTAATGTAGTTATTTTAACTCCTACCGGTTCTCCAAATGATGATAGTGAAATTTTTCATGCTACACAATTGTATAAAGAAGAGCTTTTATTTAATGATAATGAGTATCTAGATATTTGTGTGGATGAAGCTATCTTCAGAAGGTTAATTAAAGTACGTACTCAATGGGAAAAGATAAGACCTATATTGGGTCAGTGGCATACCTCGAAAGACATGCTTAGCATTATACTTACTATCTTTTCAAGCTACGGAATCTTTCATTTAGCTACAGCTATTGGTGTTTGATTTTTAGACAAGCTTCAAGCCATTATTGATTATAGGTCAATAAGAAGAGTATTAGAATTAATATGAGTCGCTACTGGAATAGCAATTCACATTTATGCAAAAAAAAAGAATATTGGTATTGAAGAAATTTCAACTTTACCAATGGATAGAAATTTATGTATTAAAGCTTGGTATTTTTATTATAAATATTTTGCTATGTGAAAAAGCCATCTCATCAGAATACGTATTGGAAATTATGAATTACAACGTAATAGTCTAACAGCTTTTGCTCCTCTTTTTTCAGCTGCAGGAAAAAACAACTATACAACCTCTGTAGCTCACTTCCTATCAATTCTTAAGAAATATCCCAATTTAGAAACAAAACTCCAACATTGTGCCTTTATTAATTTGGCAAGAAAAGGTTATTATCCAGCATTTGACGAAGTTCTAGAGATGCATAGAATTGGATATATTAAACAAAATATAATTGGAAATGTTATCGATCAAGAAAATTTAAATCTTCAAATTCAAGTTACCTAAGAAGAAAGAGAAAGAATTGATACATTATTAAACAAGTTTTTGGATCCATATAATTATAATAGGAAAGATCGTAAGATAAATAATCGAATTGATCCTTTATGGAAATTGATAGAAGATTTAGTTGAGGTATTTCAAATGGATAATCATATGGAACATGAACTTTTCAAAAAAATCCACCTTCACAATTAACTTCAGAAGGATTAAAAAAATTAAATAATGCTTATAAAGAAGGATTAAAAAGGATAAAGGAAGTATATCGTCAAGAGGTTGTTAAAACTGAAAGAATAAATACAAAGGGAAGACGTCATTTAGAAATAATTAAAACTGATATAAGATCAGTTGCAAAATCTTCACAAAAAGAAAGCTCCGGAAGAAAATAATAAAACTACACTCCACTCTACATCTCGTAAGATCTCTAAGGTCTCTCAATCAAGCATAAATGAACAATCAAGTACTCCAAATAATGCTCCTAAACGTCAAAGAACAAATATAACAGACGAAGAAAAAGGAATATTAAATGTTCTGTTGCTTAAAATTACAATGCCAACAGAAGAAGAAATTAATAATGTTTTAAAAAAGTTATCATCTGCATGGGATAATCAAAGAGTTAAACATTTTTATAATAATAATAAAAAAAAGTAAGTCAATAATGATTAAAATAAATATCACAATTATTATATAAAATTAAAAATTTGACTTAACATTAAAACTTCTAAGTAAACCACTTTTTATGGCCTAACTTTATTTAAAAAAAACGTGTTTATTTATCTATTCCAATAAAAAATAAGTTTATAAAACTTTTAATTCAGGATGATCTTAAGTAAAAGAATGAAATAGTACTATAAAGTTTATTATATAATAACCTTTAATTTTTGTTAACAATATATAAAAAAAATTAAAAATATTGTAGAAATAAAAGTTAAAAAACAGTTCTTTGATGATATTATTTAAATAAAATTTATTTTAAAGTGAGTTGTTATATGGGCGAAGTTTTTGATTTAACATTACACAAAATTTTATCATTAGTAAATTGGTGTAACGTGGATTTGTCCAGTGATTGGTATACTTTCCTTATATATATTATTTATAGGGTGTGAAGTGATTAATTTTTTAAAGATAATACTTTAAATAATTCAATTTCTTTTGTTTTATCTAAATCATCTTGGAAAGAAATTGGTATAGAAATAAAAAATAATAATAATAATATGCTATTAGATTTTGGAAAACTATCACGTAACATTTGAAAAAATAATGCTGAATATAAAGCAGAAGAATGAGTAAACTGGATAATTTTATATTCAGTACCTTTACTTAAATCTAAATTACCGGAAAGGAATAGAATTTATAAATGTTTATTAAATATTTTAATGATTTTAAATTTTAATTTCTAAAATATATATTAAATTTATAGATATCTCAAAGGTTAGAATGAATTTATCACAGCTGTTCATCTATGCATACAAATCAATATTGAAAAAGAAAATATTGATTTAATAAAAAATTTAAAATTTTTTATAAGCATATATCAAAGTAAGTATATAAATATTGTATTCACTATGTAATTGATAAATTACTTTTATTTATAATATCTTTATTATTTTTTATAGAGATTATGCAAGTATAGTTGCTTGACGAAACCTCAGGGTATTGACAATTGTCGAAAGTCGAAACCTATTTAGACGTTTTGACTTTTT